TGTAATGGGTACAGAAGCAATATTAGGGGAATATTTTTCTATCTTTGGGATAGTTTTACGTAATATATAATGCAGAAATCATTAGTCATAAAAGTAATAATAGCACCAATACGGCCAAACACCTCGTCTTGCCCGCGCCTGTTGGCCCGCCTTCTTCGTATGAGCTGAAAACGTGGTAAAAATTGGATATTTTAGCATTATGCTTAACTTGATGTTCTAGATCAGAACGCACAGCAGAGGGACCTGTGCGGGTTCGTTCCGCATCATCATCATCACCATCATCATCATCATCATCATCAATGAAGATCTTCAACGAATATAGAAGTTTAACCCGGGTGGGAGAATTAAACCCTTATTGACGATCTTCAATGAATGTAGAAGTTTAAGGGCGATGGAAGAATTAAACCCGCCCTTATTGAAGATCTTCAATGAATGTAGAAGTTTAACGGAGGTGGGAGAATTAATCCCTTATTGAAGGCCTTCAATGAATGTAGAAGTTTAACGGGGGTGGGAGAATTAAACTCTTATTGCAGATCTTCAATGAATTTAAAATAAATGTAAAGTTTAACGGGGGTGGGACTTTTATATTCCCTAATACCTTTGTTGATCTTCCCAAGACAAGAAGGGTGTGGGCGAAACGGGGTGTTTGCGCGTGCTAATAGAAATAGAATGGAAATAGTAACGATAGTAATAAAAGAAACAATCATATAGTAGGAATAAATAATACTAATAGTAGTAATAGCAACAATAGTAAACATGGTAATAATTAATAGCAATAATTAGTACTAATAGAAGTAGAGTAGACACTATAGTAATACCCTCCGGTAAAGTAACAGTTACCCTAAAAATCACACATTTTGAGTGGAAACTAGTCTTCCAACCGACTCACGGCAGGGTCTATGTTCATTTACTGGAGGGTAATAATAGTAAGCAATAGTTTCACTATAAACAACCATTTTTGTTTCAACTCAAGAATAATGCGGAATAAATAGCGGTAATGAGTAACAATAGTAAAATCTTAACTGATGATTCTCACGAATGGAACTAATAATGGTGACAGTTAACCGTTAATAAGAATATTAAGGAATGATAGTAGTATTCGAAATAACTATTTTCATGAAAAAGCAATAATAAGCATAAATAATCAATAATAATCATGTTATACATAGACAATCATTGATTAGGACTTCTAGAACCATTAATAATCATTAATCATTATTTCGGAGATGGGGAACCGTTGCACTTGATAATCATTGTGCAAGTAACTATTGATACATATTGGAACCGTCATAGTCATACTCATTACACGAATATATTTTTTTTACAATTATTGTAACCATTACTATGGATGTTCTATACTATAATCATTTATTCAACATAAAAAACCCTACTATGAATGTACAATTATTATATTGATTATAATCACAAACTATTTTCACAATTATATATATATATACATACTGGATGTTCTCGCATACTTTGTGATATCATCAATTGGGAAGTCATCAGGGCATATTATTGTGGTATCGTGCGGTTTGACGAGCAATGAGCCAACCAAAATGGAGATTAAATCAAGCATTATATCCTGGCCAGCCATACTTGGCATGGGATATCATGGGGATTGTATTGAGATGACAATGGTAATGCTACATACACCTATACAAGCAACATCAGCGAACAGAAACATGCTGCTGTTTTTGGTTTTTGCTGTTGTCTGGCTTGCTGAGTTCTGGAGACCTACAGTCATGAAACATCTAAGTCGGGATGTGTCGGGATATCAGCTCAGCCATCTCCCTGGTGGATGCTGTATCCCCAAATATTTGCATGATGTCTTCGCATTGGGTGTCAAATAGAAGAATCTTTGACCGCGCAAATCAACCCATCAAATGTTTCCACCATCCCCTAATATCACCAGAAATGGATGGTATCATCCGCCAAGTCCGGTAAGTTTTTGTTACAGTTTATTTCCAATTTTTCTGGGATTATAATCATTTATAGTTTTCCCAGTTTTTGTGGGCTTATAATATGTAATATCTATAACTTATAATCCATACAAACACCATAGTTTTCCCAGTTTTTGTGGGCTTATATATGTAATATCTATAACTTATAATCCATACAAACACCATTATCATCACCGAGGCTAGGATCTAAACCATCTAAACCATCCCCACAAGGCGGGCTGGGCCGACTCCAGGCATTCCCCGTGGCGCCAAGTGTCTTGATATTTCCCAGCCTCGCAACGATGGCACTGTTGCTGCCCCGGCTGATCTTCGTATTCACCACCTGGCGATCAACAGGGCTTGGTTTTCATGGGCTAAAACGGATACCCTCTGGTAAACATACAAAAATCTACGGAAAATCACCATGTTTAATGGGAAAATCCACTATTTCTATGGTCATTTTCAATAGCAAACTGCTAAATTACTAGAGGGTACTTCTTTCATCAATAGAATGCTTGATGTTCAAAATCCCCCAGCGGGACATTGACCGACCCTGGTGAAATAGAAGATGCCTTTCAAAAAAAGGGGTGCGTATTATCATCCCCAAGTTTTTTTCTTTTGGCTTGGTTGGGATCAAAAGATTGGATTTGAACCGCAAACTTCAAAAGGCATCGCAATTCAGCAGCCAGGTAGCTAGGACAAGGGATGCACGACGTTGCCGCTGAAGTGGATTGGTATGAGCCTCAGTGGCAATCTTGCAGATCCGTATTTCGCACCTTGGCTTCACCACCGTGGGCCATCGCAGGAACCCATCGTCGCGGCCCGCCTGGTTCACAGACTTGGCAAATATGCGTTACACCTGCCGGTTCAGTGCGGTGAAGCGACCAGAAAATCGTGGCCATCTGCCCTCCGCCCTGGTTGATTGAATATCCCGGTGTATATTCCACTATACCTCCATATATGGCTTATTGTATTCCATTATTGTTGTTAATACCATTCTTCATTCTTCCCGAGACTGGTCGCAGAACCATGGTTATCTCAAATCTGGCACCGTTCTGGCTGCTCATCTTCCATTTTCAATAGCTATGTTAGTTTACCAGAAGGTATTCACCCACCAAATATCCACCATAAACAACCAGAAACATCCATAAAACAGCCATAAACATCCATAAACATCCAGAAACATCCAGAAACTATCCAGAAACATCCAGAAACTATCCACAAACAACCATAAACATCCAGAAACATCCATAAACATCCATAAACATCCAGAAACATCCAGAAAACATCCATAAAACATCCATAAAACATCCATAAAACATCCAGAAACATCCAGAAACATCCAGAAACCATCCATAAACATCCATAAACATCCAGAGACCGTCCAGAAACATCCAGAAACATACAGAAACCATCCCTTCCGTAAACCATCCATAAACATCCAGGAACATCCATAAACATCCAGAAACATCCATAAACATCCAGAAACCATCCAGAAACATCCAGAAACATCCATAAACACCCATAAACATCCAGAAACCATCCATCAACATCCATAAACATCCAGAAACCATCCATCAACATCCATAAACATCCAGAAACCATCCAGAAACATCCATCAACATCCATAAACATCCAGAAACCGTTCATACACATCTATAAACATCCAGAAACATCCATAAACATCCAGAAACATCCATAAACATCCAGAAACATCCATAAACATCCAGAAACCATCCATCAACATCCATAAACATCCAGAAACCATCCATCAACATCCATAAACATCCAGAAACCATCCAGAAACATGCATAAACCCCATAAACATCCAGAAACCATCCATCAACATCCATAAACATCCAGAAACCATCCATCAACATCCATAAACATCCAGAAACCATCCATCAACATCCATAAACATCCATCAACATCCAGAAACCATCCAGAAACCATCCATAAACATCCATAAACATCCATAAACATCCAGAAACCATCCAGAAACATCCATAAACATCCATAAACATCCAGAAACCATCCAGAAACCATCCATAAACATCCATAAACATCCATAAACATCCAGAAACCATCCAGAAACATCCATAAACCCCATAAACATCCAGAAACCATCCATCAACATCCATAAACATCCAGAAACCATCCATCAACATCCATAAACATCCAGAAACCATCCATCAACATCCATAAACATCCAGAAACCATCCATAAACATCCATAAACATCCATAAACATCCAGAAACCATCCAGAAACCATCCATAAACATCCATAATCATCCATAAACATCCAGAAACCATCCAGAAACATCCATAAACATCCATAAACATCCAGAAACCATCCAGAAACCATCCATAAACATCCAGAAACATCCAGAAACATCCATAAACATCCAGAAACCATCCATCAACATCCATAAACATCCAGAAACCATCCAGAAACATGCATAAACCCCATAAACATCCAGAAACCATCCATCAACATCCATAAACATCCAGAAACCATCCATCAACATCCATAAACATCCAGAAACCATCCAGAAACATCCATAAACATCCATCAACATCCAGAAACCATCCAGAAACCATCCATAAACATCCATAAACATCCAGAAACCATCCAGAAACATCCATAAACATCCATAAACATCCAGAAACCATCCAGAAACCATCCATAAACATCCATAAACATCCATAAACATCCAGAAACCATCCAGAAACATCCATAAACCCCATAAACATCCAGAAACCATCCATCAACATCCATAAACATCCAGAAACCATCCAGAAAACATCCATAAACATCCAGAAACCATCCATCAACATCCAGAAACATCCAGAAACCATCCATAAACATCCATAAACATCCATAAACATCCAGAAACCATCCAGAAACCATCCATAAACATCCATAATCATCCATAAACATCCAGAAACCATCCAGAAACATCCATAAACATCCATAAACATCCAGAAACCATCCAGAAACCATCCATAAACATCCAGAAACATCCATAAACATCCAGAAACCATAGTTATCCACCATTAGTCACCCAGCATTTTCTCCACTTCGGCACCGCTGTTGTCCGCGAAGCGTTGCGACTTGAGCCCTGCCGGGCAGGCGCGGCACTCCACGGTGTCCGCGGGGCCCAGGTTCTTGCGGTCGGTGACCTGACAAAAATCGAGGGATTCGACGAGGCAAAAACGTGCAAAAACGAGATATAACGGCTAAAAAGGTGGGATTTAAGCCATTCAATGCCATAAATGTACATAAATACATAAATAAACATAGATACATAAATAAACATGTATTAATATATGTATATATATATATGTATATATTTGGGAATATATATGGGATTGGGATGGATTGGGTAGAAATAGATTTTCAATGTGTGATTATTTTCGGCTTCATTTATGTGGGGATTTTACAACTAACAGAACTTGGAATTTAGCCAGCCCTTTGAGGATATTTGAACAAGCAAAATCTGCATCTCCTAGCAGAATCCCATATTTTTTTTGCCGCAAAATCCTCATGGCGAAGCTGACAAATTAAATTAAGCGTTTCCTCATAGGAAAAACAGCAGCTTTCGCACGAAAATGGGTTCTACTTCGCAAGAAAGTGGGCTTTCTAGATCTAACAAGCTTGAATACTATATATCCAGACGTCAAGGAAAGCATTCGCCCATGAAATGGGATATCCCTGCATACGTATGCCAGAAAACTTGATAGGACCTACCCATACAAGAATTGCATCCTCGGCCACACTTGACTTTGGGGTAGGCAACTGTTACAATTTTTCACCAAAACATGGGAAAGAACAGGTTAACACAGGCAACAAAACATCATCACAGTTGGGTAACAACTGGGGATCACATGCTCAAAGTGGTGTCAGCCTTCGCCACTGATCAGAGCTGTGTTGGATACCGAGGTACGAAGCTTTGGGATCTCAAGTCGAACAAACCAAACCTCAGTGAAAAATATGGTTTTGTGGGTGCCACCTTTCCTGGTTGGTGGTATACCTACCGCTCTGAAAAATATGAAAGTCAGTTGGGATTATTCTTCCCAATATATCAAGGAACTATCCAGGTACCCCTCAAGCCTGTACCGCCTGTATGGGGGCAACCTTAAGCCTAGGTATAGACCAGGTATATACCTCACTTCTATGGGAGCAGTATAGGATGCCTATGGGCGCGTTATGGGAAAACAGCTGGCTTATGTTATGGTATGTCCAACCACACCAGATGATGCGCCGACGGGACCGCAACGAAACGTGCACATTTCACAAAATTACCCTATAAGTAAGTTGAACAAGGGCAAAGACAACTGTTGCTAACAAATGGGATGAACGCAGCATCAAATATTGCCCGACATGTCAAATAGCCAACGGATACCCATCTCATCAAGACGCCTGATTCAGGCTCACCATACACATACAATCTTGACAATTCTGCATTACTGTACATACATTAGAATAATTATTACTTGCTGGATACCATTGGACCTTCCAGAGCAAACATCAGCTGATGGAACTATCTTTGGTGCTAAGATTCGGCTTAGGGCGGATCATCCACCTCGAAAAATATTCCGCCACCATGATTTGGGGGCAAGTTTTCAGCCCCGAAAAACGATGTTTGTGCAAACCAGGAAAATCCCAGTATTTTGGGCTTTCTGGGTTCCAAAATTGGCAAAAACGTGGAAAAAAACATTTTTTTTGAGCGTGCGGGGGGTGTATGGGAGGTGTATGGGAGGCGTATGGGAAACCCAAATTTAGGAAGAAAGAAAAAATATGAGAACATTGAGCCCAATAGAAATGAAAATGCGAGGCAGTACTCATTTACTAAAGCAATGCCCAAAAAAAATATTCGCAAGAGAGCACTACCAAAAACAACCGAAATATCCTCTGACCAGACCAAAAGCATTGCTTTGAATGCTTGACTTGCCACCTGAGAACACCATCCCGCGGAGGGACATACAGTTGCCCCGGTGGGCATTGGCCATGCCCCTGCAAAAACGTAAGCCGCTATGCTGGCATTCTAGAGCAACACATGGTTCCCCAAATCATTTTTTTGCTTTTAATTGGCCAACACGATCGCGCAAGATCTGTCACAATTACACAAGGACCGAGGAAGCAAAACAGGAAAAACCCTATCAGAAACGATCTGGTGAAATAAAGGTTGACAACAAATAGTAGCAGCCGGAAATATTGATTGGCTAGCTTTTGGATGTTTTGGGGCAAGATCCACAGACCTCCCATGCTTTTGGAGCAAGATCCATAGACCTCCTATGTGGGGGTTCCAACTTTGCAGGTACCAAATAATCCCGTAGAATATATGGAAAAAAAAGTTCCAAACCACCAGCCAGTTGTTTTGTGGGTGCCACCTTTCAATGGATGGGAAAATCTATAGGAAAATCTGTCGGACAATCCTCCAGCTGAACTCCTCCAAGATGCTGTGGAAAGCATTGCGATGGATCTGGCACCCAGGCGCGCCAAATGTCTTCGTTCTTACGAAGCCATCGGCATGCAACCTGTGCAGCGGCCCAACAGGGGGTAAGCTGCGGTTCAGAGAAGCCACACTGAACGGAGTTTTGATGCTGGGTGTAAGCACTGGGCATTTTTTTGGGTTTGAGCCGATGTGCACAGGCTTTCGCCAGAAATATCGCTTGAGATTTGCCGACAGTCTCGGCAAGCTGCAACGCTCCCGCCGAGGGGCTGTGGAATAGTTGTCGCCAGTGGAAAGGGCGTCAGACAATAAGGAGTTCACAACCTCAGGGCAAGCAGTAGGCTCAATGCGTTCCAAGCAAATACATATGGCTTTTAAATGTTTGATTCAATCCAACCATTTTTTCCGGAAATGGCTGCAGCAATCTTGGATAACCTATGTATCCAAGTGGGGATAGTTAACATGTCTGGGATGCAGCCAATCACATAGCGGCCAATCACATCCAAGGCACGTTGATATCGATGTACAACGCCTGCAACACCACAAAGCCCACCCAAAGTCGTGAAGAAATCAGTGGTGGAAGTGGGGGAAAATGGAACTGCAGCTTTGGCGGACAGATTCTAAGTCTTCAAGGTTCCAGGAAATTGATGAAGGGACAAATTACGGCCAAGTGCCTGTATTTGGATGATAGCCCCAGTTCCCTCAAACCAACTGCCCCATGAAACTTCAAGCCGCCGAATCCCGCAGAATCCATGGAATGAGTAAGGAGACCTTTCAAAGATGCCAGTTTCCCAACAGTATCTACCCAGTTTGAACCGCTGAATTCATCAGTTTCACTGCTGAAATCCGGCCTTTACCAGAGGGTAAGTTCCAAGTAATGTGACATCAATGTCTAGTTTATGCCATTGCTTTCCTAACATTCATCCACCATTTTAAAAAACGCTCAAAATCCCATTCGTCACCATTCTTCACAGTTTTTCATAAGTATCCACCATCTCTCATAGGTAAATCATGGTAAATCCACCATTTTTCACGGCCAACCCAGCGTTTCCGCAACGTTGAAAGGTCCTTCATCAGCTCCATTACGCTCGGCGCCAGGAAGGCCAAATCTTGACCTCGCTGGGAAATCCACAACATTCCAAAATGGAGGTTGATAGCTGGGTTTCGCACGTGGCAAATATGAACACATATGGGAAAATCCATTCTAAATGGAGATTTGCAGTTGGGAACATATTCTATAAATGGGGGATTTGAATGGATTTTAAAGCAAGCCATGAAGCTGATGACACCGGAAGACATATTTTTTCGTTTTTTTGCCGGTTATTTCGGGCCTTAGGGTACATATCAAGAAATTGATGGCAGAAGATGAAGTTCGGTTCATGTGTCGTAAAGCTATCTAAGGCTTACCCAGAAATGGTGATATGTCAGATTTTTGCACCAGTAAATCAGAATTTTGTTGGGACATCACCTCCCATCCCAGAGATTGGAGTGTTGGCCTTAAAGCATGGAATGGTTTAAGGGGTTCCACATTTTGAGAATCCTCAAAACCTGGGAAAAAACAGCAGAGACGCTAGAGTGCATAACTGATGGGTAAGTAAGAGACTATAAGTTATATATAAAACCATTAAGAGCCCATGTATAAGTGGGAAAAAACATTGAAAGAGTTGACAAAACTGGGCTGAAAGTTCATGGGGTTCATCCAGCTCATATTTGGGAACATGACACTCAGGATCTAACTGAGGTAACACCTTCACATTCCAACTCATCGATGTATACCATACCACCAGCCCCACCACAAAGTGGATGGCTTCAGCCCCAAACCCACGGGATCCCTGGTGAGTCTCAGCCTAGTGACTGGCATACTTCTCAATCGGCTGGTCCGGATTTCCACCCCGATAATCTCCGCGAAAGAAAGCGGCACGATCACCTGGCCGCCAGTTAGTTGGATAGCAAAAAAAGCAATTTCTCATTGGAACTGCACTTCCAAGTGGTGTAACTGACCAGTGACAATCATGAAGAATGGTCAAACATAGTTGCTGTGGTAAACCCAATAACAAACCATCCCCCAAAACATCATTTTCACGGCTGAGATTTCAACCATCTCCAAATGGCAGGTTTATGGCGGTGTACCACATTCATGGTTATTATGATTATCAATAATGCAGGTAAAAGAATATCATGAACCATCCCCCGAATCACCATTGTTATTGGTGATACCATTCCCAAATTTCTAGTTTAATATTGTTTTAACCACATTATTATCATTCATATTGGGTTTACCACAGTTATGGTTACTTCCTATGATAAATCGCGTTTTTTTTTTTAAATAACGCCCCAGCCAGCTCTCCCCAGCTCACTGGGTGGATAGATGATCTCCCGAGGCGTCATTGCCTTGGGCGGAGAAAGGCACCACTTGCTGTGAAGGATGTGGATATAATTATATAATATAATTATGTGTGTGTGTCTATTATATATATATACACACATATACATACATATACACAAATGTACATTATATCTAATTATATCTTATGGCGTTTTTCTCTTTTTAAAGTTCATGGTACTTGAATGTACTTCATATCTGCTCCACTGTAAAAGGACCATTGATGGCACAGCTGCCACGAAGGTGTCGTCTGGAGTCCACCAATAAAATAGCATATTCATTTCCTCAGGGCTGGTGGACGGGCCGACTGCACACGACAGCGGCCATGTGATGTTTTTCGGTGCAGGGCTACTCTGAAGAGATACTGCCAAGTACCTCCCAGCATTCCAATCACCGAAAAAAAATGGCAATTTCTTTCAAATTTTTGAAAGTTCCAAGGCAATCGGCTCAACCCCATATATATTGGCTCCTACATTTACCATCGTATTTGTCCCAAATACCGCCGCAATTTTTCAGAAAACTCAAACATATTCCCCAAAAAAACTCCAAAGAATACAAACGCATTCAAATTACTCTACTTCGAGTTATCCCCTCCATGACATCTATACGTTTTGTTACTGGCAAATCTTCTGGCATTCTATCTGACATATCTTCTGGCATTTTATCTGGCATATCTTCTGGCATTCTATCTGGCATATCTTCTGGCATTCTATCTGGCATATCTTCTGGCATTCTACCTGGCGTATCTTCTGCAATATGTTCTGGCATATCTTCTGGCACTGTATCTGGCATATCTTCTGGCATACCTTCTGACATTCTATCTGGCATATCTTCTGGCATTCTATCTGGCCGTTGAGGTCCAGCGGTGCACACTGAGCTGGGAAGGTCCCAGGTTGAGGTCCAGCGGTGCGCACTGAGGGGAAGGTCCCAGGTTGAGGTCCAGCAGTGCGCACTGAGCTGGGAAGGTCCCAGGTTGAGGTCCAGCGGTGCGCACTGAGCTGGGAAGGTCCCAGGTTGAGGTCCAGCAGTGCGCACTGAGCTCGGAAGTTGGCGAAGAGCTTGGCGAAGAGTTGGCAAGGCGGAAGTGGAGGTGGAAGTTGATGCAGACATGGTCGAGGAGAAACTGGAGGAGGCGGAGGAGGACAACAGCTCTGATAAAATCTAACAACCCTCACCTGGCAGGTGGGGAAAAAACCAAACCATTCCAAACAAATCTCCAAAAACTCTTTCAAACCATTCCAAGACATTCCACAACATTCTAGATGGTGCCAAAAACATACTGGACTCAAAATCAATGGGGCGGGCCCCTGCAAACATGCCCCAAGAGTATCCCTCTGAATACCCCTATCCTCACAGAAGATTCTCAGGCTGCAACCCCACCGAACTAGTTCCACTCACGATTCTTCCATCAACATTGCTCATAACTATCTCTTTGGCATGATATAATCTCAAATGCCTGTTTAAACATCTTAATCTTGAGATGTCAAAACTTCCCCTCGGCACCGCAGAAACTGGATGGCAATCCCACACAAAACACATGTCTACTTCGATCAACGCCCTGCCACCGGAAAAAAACCCGAAATACTGAGATGAGGCTGAAATCTTCGGCAAAATCCATGGTTTTATCAAGGATTTCCCATGTCCTCTAAAATCACCGAGTGGCACCTAGAAAAGTGTGCTTTCTCCAAGTTTCCAAACGGTCTTTGTCACGTTTTTGACACATTTTCTCCAAGTTTGCACCGGTAGCACCAAGCTTCTGCGGGCATGCGCTGATAATCCGCATATTCTTTGGCCACCGCAATCGCCATGGCCGTATCGTAGGCCGTGGCCCGTTGCCTGGGACATCCGATGGGTTTGACACCCATATTTTGTAGGACCAATTTGATCCAGATTCTTTCTGGTTGGTGGTATACCAAGCCCTCTGAAAAATATGAAAGTCAATGGGAAGGATTATCCCAATATATTCTGGAAAATAACACATGTTTGAAGCCAGCAGCCAGTTTTGTTCTGCTTTGGATCAAAATATTATGGTACCAAATATGATCAAATAATATCAATTATGATTTGGTGGTTTGACACAATGAGACAAGCACCAAAATCGATCTAACACGACCAGGCTCTGCTCATAAAAGTTGATGAAAAAACAACACTTTTCAAAAAAAGAAGCGGCACCTTAGGATCAACATCCCATTGACCCGTTGAATAGTCAATAAACAATATCATAAACCAACATAAACCAATGCCAATCACAAGATATTTATGATCGTAAACCAACATCCCAACATATTAATCAACAGACTTAAGTAATCATGAACCAACACAAACCAGTGCCATGCACCCATCAATCCCATGCGGCCCGGCGCCAAGTGGCATGTGGTGTTCGAAATTATAGCCGGGCCCGGCCGTTAGGAAGATGATGCACCTGAGCAAGGCCAAGTGGTGAAAAATCCAGGGGACAAACTAAAAATATCTTAAACATTATTAAAGATGATGTAAAACAGAAAGTTTTTTGCTTTTTTTGCAAGGAAATATGACGAGGTTGATTGGGATTCATGGATGAACATGGAGATATTTGCCAATCTCAAGGGGCTCATTTCACCAGTATACCATGATTTTCTGCAATATTTCCCTATAAACTGATGCCGGGAAACAAAAAACACGACGTTGTTTTTGGAGTTGAACTTTCACCGAAAAGCCGATATGACAACCAGGAAGCACACTGTGGGTATACCACAGTCCCTCGGCATCAACAATGGTCACTTGCAACATACACTGGTGGAAAGGAACTTCCCAGCAGAAAACTCAAAATTGCTAGACGTTTCTTCAATTTCTTATGTAAGGGAAACGATCAAGTACCTAAATTGGAGGTAATTACCGATGATATTCGCGGCCTATGTAATCCAAGCTATGTCATAGGCACTGGAATTGACCATGGGTGACGTGGAAGACAAATTGAAATTGACTTCCAGGTCAGGAACGCTGGTCTATTGGTGGCTGAATATCACTCTCTTGAACCATGTTTTTTATCTAAAAAAATATCTTGCCCAACAAAATAACAAAGAGGTTACGTGGCAATGTTCCCATTGCACAATTTTCAATACCCAGCAATCAACCGACATATTCTTAGGTCAAATTTGCAACACACCAACCAAAAAGAGCATGCAATTCTCGAAGATATACCAAGCAACCCCCAGCAAAAAGATTCCGTTTTGACAGCATGTAAAGACCGCCAAGTGGTAAAACCAGGTATGGTTTGTCATTGGGTGTGTAAACAGAAATCAGTGTGGAAACGCTCATGCCCAAAGTAGTACCAGTCATTGAATGATCTTTGCATACCCAACTGCCAGTTATCAAGGTTTCACCGTTTACCACGTTATAACCTACAAACTCATAAATAAGCCAATACATTTTTGTTTTTTTTGCATGAGCAACTGTTTTGTCCATGGCTTTTTACCCCAACAGTTGTGGCTCATTGTTTGCCGCCAGTTATCCGATAAGGTTCTTATTTTGATTACATCCTCCCTGGCTCTTGGTTTCAACCCCCCAAAGGACCGCCAACTCGTTGTTCAGGACCAAAATGTGGCTAAATCACCGTTTCTGCTGGCACAATTCCCTCCAGCCAGCATACCACTAGCTTTGGTGTATATCCCCATTTTTGATTGGTGATATTCTCGTTTACTGTTGGAAATTTACCCGTCGATTGCTTACCCAGCAATTTTATGGTTTATCCATTTATCCGTCCAAGGCGTTCTCAGCATCCAGCCATTCCCTTTGGTATTTTTTTGTTGGTGAACTCCACATTTTTCTCGTCCTATCACCGCGGCATTTCCATGATCAACGAAAAAGTTTTTTATAAAACACAGATTCGGATGGAAAACATCTTCACATCCTTCGTATCCAAAAATGACCATAGCTAGTAATTAGTAGATTGACTCGACTCATATTGAGATGGTAATGGCTCTGGGTTAAATCACCGTTTTTAAGTCAGAAAAAAGTCAGTTGAAGTCATACCGTATTTGTTGCTTAAGCCTACCAGACTAGTAATCCATGAAAATGAGGTAAAAGAATCATAAAGCACCCCATTTTTGATGGTTTCTACCACCTATATGGTGATGACTGGGGGATGGTTTAGTATTGCTTTACCCACATTCGTAGATTTTGGATCACCACTTGATCAAAAAACAGGAGCTTATCACCTCGGCACTTGGTGGGGTCATCACGGCACGCAGGCGATAGCCAGAAATAGTCTTGAAAGCACCGACCTGCCGGAACCCAATGATGGAAAAAACGATGTGGTTTTGCTGACCCCCATCTGATGGAATGGAATGATGTATATACATATGATTACATATCCCTAACCTTCCAGTTACCTTTGGGACAGGTAACCACTTCAGTTACCTATGGGCAGGTAACCAAACATAGTTTCCGGAACCGAGGTTTGATGTAGCGATTGGAACCGTGACAAAACAGGCCGGAACCGTGACAAAACGCATTGGAAACGTGAACATATACCTTGGAATCGTTAGAAAATGAGCGGAACCGTGATAACCCAGTTGCTTTTATTTGTGGTTCCTCGCTGGCAGCCTGGTTCCTGTAAAAACCGTCACCGAGGCCTACTTACGTATGGGAAAGGCTACCAGGAAGACTAGGGTATGATTATATATGTATATATAATATTATATAATTATATGTATATGATTACAAATATATACGTATACATGAATTATATATGCCTGGGAACCCAAACGTCAATGTTTTTTCGGTAATATGCCGTATTACTAGTAATGACATGTTTTTATAGTCGGAATTCCAATTTCGCATGCTTTTTCCTGTAATGACTGAAAAAAATCGTCAACAGGCGGTATGTGCCTGTTTCATCTTGACTGAAAATAAGTAGCATTTGAAAGAAAAAACATGTCAATTTGACTGACTTTGGGCCAAAGTTGGCCCAAAGACGCACTCAACCCGACAATTCGCCAGGAAAGAACAGAAATATTGATAAACACCCAATAAAAACCCAAAGGTTTTTTTCGACTTCACGCGCGTTAACAGACCGTATTTGGGTTCTCCAGATCGGGCCTTCAATCGAACCAACAAACCCGCAATGACAGAAAAAAACGTGTCAGCCCCGAACGATGGAAAAAAAACTGGCTTTTGGGTTCCCAGGTGGTTATATATATATATAAATGTAAATATATATATATATATATGTATATGCATATGATTATATATATAAAAATAAACATGTATGTATTACAAACAAGTGGTTTAACACGGTTTAACCATCCAATTGGTGATTGAATGGGGATGCAGCGGCAGACTTTTTGCGACTTGCGAGGCGTCGAGGCGTCAGAGCCCTGGAGTCCAGGCACTGTTGCCGGCCGGCAGCGGTTGGATCTAGCAATCACATCCAGTTATCATATTAAATGAAAGAAAACAATCAATCTGACTCCCGAAAAAAAATCCAATAGTCACATTTCACCAAAAAGTCATTTGAGGTATTCATTCAGTGGAAGTGCCGAGTGGCACAAGCAATTTTGCTGCTGCCAGCAACACGGTTTTCCACCGAAGGGGACTGGAGCTCTAAGGGCCCTGCGTACAACCGCCTTTATCGCTGTCTTCTGGCGCTTGGCTCTGTTGGAGATTGGTGATTTTGCCAGCAGGTCTTTGACTCACTGAGAAGCAGCAGCTATTTTGCTATCCATTTAGGAGGCACAAGGAAAGGAACACACTCTTTTACAAGGAGTTCCCTGACTGTGTGTTTCTTCGTTTATGTATGTTTATGTGAGTGTGTCACCATGATGCCATACCAACTGTTTGGATGAGCAACTGTTTCTGTGTTTCGTACATCGATGTTTCATGTGTGTTGCACACAATGACTAGGAATGTCATCCTAGCAAGTCGATGCATTTGGATACCGGCTTGGTGGTTGAGCCTACCCCTCTGAAAAATGATGGAGTTCGTCAGTTGGGATCATTATTCACAATATATGGAAGAATAAAATTCATGTTCCAAACCACCAACCAGATACTTTTAAGTGAACCATTTATACCCAAAACACGCTGTATTATCTCAAGCTGCCGCAAAGCCACCATGTTTCAATAAACATCTCGCAATTGGAATGAAATGGAACGAGCACGTGCCATCAAAGTCACACGCAGCAAAGCGGGAGGAAAAAGGCACTTGCTATGTCGGGGACCCAAGTGGCCACCGCTGTGGAATTGACATCCGAAGTGGAACTGTCTGGGACATTGGCCGCTTCGAGGCTCGCTGGTGCGTAGAATTTTGCAAAGAAGTAAACAAGACGAAGAAACAAAGAATGGAACATACATGATTTCATATTAACTCATGATTGTGTACGTCTATCTGATTCTGCAGGGGGTTGAGCAAATCAAAGTATATATGCGCATATAATGTGAACGGATGCATGTAGCATATCTATTTCATCTAGGAAGTTGCAAATGTGCCAGGGGTGTCTCTTGAGACCTCCCCCCAGTGACAGTCCATGGATGTCATGGTGCAAATTTCTGAATTTGAAGTCATGTGGGCAAAACAATGTCATAAACCAAATCACCATTTTTATAGGTGAAAAAAAATCCCAAATGGTGGTGAAAATTGTGTTTATCATTGTTTTACCCACATTAGCCCCATTTTGATCGGCATCCGAGTCATCATGGGCTCGGACCAATCAGTTTGGCATGCAAGCCATCATGGGCTCGGATCAATCAGTTTGATTCGCAAAAACTCCTTCCAAGAGAGATCTCTTCTAGCTTAGTCACTGAAGTATCAAGTATCTATATAAAATGGCAAAGTGTTTAACATGGTTTACCCTCTGGTAAACATACAATAAACTATGGTAAATCCACCCATTTTCTGGGTAAATCCACCCATTTTCTGGGTAAATCCACCCATTTTCTGGGTAAATCCATCCATTTTCTGGATAAATCCACCCATTTTCTGGGTGAATCATGGTGGATCTCCCCGACTTCCCCGACTTCAGATTCGCCGCAGATCACGGGCCCGCAGAAATCGGAGCCCGTCCAACAAGCTGATGCTGGGATGATCCGCCTCGCCGCGCTTCACCATCTCGGCCTCTCGCCATCTCTCGCTGAAAAAACCGCATTTACCAATGTCGTCACGCTGATATATATATATATATATATATATATCCCCAAATGGCCTTATTTCAGGTTTGTGAATTATTATAATTTGCCCAGATATATATATATATATATGTATAGACCCACTGGTAATTAAACATGGCAACTGAAAATAGACCATTTAGTTGGATGATTTTCCCACCAAAAAAACCTCCATTGAGTTCGGGGATTTCCGAGCTAGAAAAACGTTGGATTACCGGAGGGTATCCATCCAGTTAGTTTCCCAGAAATGGGTTCAGTATGGTTCAGTTCTCCAAACCACTCAGGATGTTTTTTTCACAGGCTATTCATTCTTCCTTCAATATTCCATTGGAATTTCACGAACATATTCTATGGCCTCAGCACATCCCCATCTGAGGTCCTCATCAATGGGGAGTATGAATGGGATATGAAAATGCTCCATGAGCATTAGCCATTCATATCCCAATACCCCACATTCATATCCCATTCATATCCCATTGATATGAATAAGATACTGAATAAGCATATGGGATATTTTCATATGCTATTACCATCTGGTTATTTAACATAGCCATGGAAAATTTCTTATAAATGGAGGAACCTAGCTGGGAAAATCATCTATAAATGGGCCATCTATACCATGGCTATGTTAAATAACCAGAGGGTAATATTTCTCATAGCATTCATATTACTCATAACCATCCCCCGCATCTCCTTGGCGATCTCTAGGGCGCTGCGGCCGCGAGAGGTTTGCTGCTGAGGATCCACCTGGATTTTTTCCACCGAACAATGGCAGCTTTGAATGGAAAAAAAGCATGGAAAAAAACATGGGAAACGATGGGAAAAACCACTTTTTCATGGCGGTGTCATGGAGGTGTCTAATGATTCTAATGGTTAATGCCAAGGAAAGCGTCTATAACTGGGTGATCTTCTGTATTTCATGGGATGGTAGCATTCTGGGCATCTACAATTGGCATATCAGGGGGATATCGGATTATCGTAGGGAGCCAATTGGGAACCATCCGTCATTGGACACATCGAAGTAACCCTGGGATATACTGATATACTGGTTACACATGGTTACCCGCTCATAAGCTAACATACCCGGCCTGGTAAACATACAAAAAACGATCTGGAAAATCACCATGCTATCGATGGGTAAATCCACTATTTCGACTGGGCAATTTTCAATAGTTATGTTAGTCATTACCAAAGGGTAGTAGATTTCCGGAATTTCCATGGTTTCCCCAGGGAAACGATCGAATCTAGTAATGGTGCAGTTTCCCTATGCTCGATTCGCCGAGAATATGTTTGTGGTAAATGTCTTATTTTCTCATGTGGCTGACATACAATGATATGTTTCCAAGACATTTCACAATAAGCACGGTTGGTTTTACACACACACATACGCATATATATATATATATATCTATCCCCAGAGAGTAATTATAGATATATGATATATGTCTTCTGTGTGCAAAACTCTGTTTGTTGATCTGCAACTAATTTCAGTTTCAGCCCAGCATTGCCAAAGTCCTGAACGTATCACGTGGGATGAACTGGGCGTGTTTGGGCTTGGCACAAGCAGTTGCCCCCCCCCCTTGCCCCCATGGCCTCTCTCCGCAGCAATATACGCAGAATCTGCGAATTTCCCTCCTGGCGGGCTGTCTCCAACGAGGCTTCTGTTGTTTTTGGGCGGTGGGAGGGCCACCACCAAAACTCCAGATGAACGGTCCATCCATTTGACAATGGCGTTTAACATCGTTTAACCGTTTAACCGTGATCGCGAAGAGCTGCGCCCCCCTCCTGGGCTGCAACGTGAATGGGGAAAACGCGTTCCTGCGCCAGATCGAAGCTGGGTCTCTCGGATGGAAAAAAAAACTAATCTGTTATTGTTTATGATTTCCCGTTTTTGTGGAGAGATTCACGTCTTTGTTGCTATCACAATTACCGTTGGTAGCCATAAAAAAAAGAGCTAACATGCGAAAATCTCTACAACTTCAAAATTCATTTGAGGTTCATTTTGACTTATTTTGAACCCTCATTTCTTTCTTTCAGTATCTTTCATTTTTTCATCCCAAGGAACCAAGAACTCACCAGAATCACCAGGCCGAGACGAGTCACAGGGCTTTTCAAGGAGAGCAAAGGAAGAAGTCCCCGGCTCTGGCGGCTGGCGTTCACGTCATCGAAGCGGTGCTTTTTCAGGAACTGCTCCAGCAGCCACTCGTCCTATCACTGGGTGAACCATCCAGTGGCGTCCCAAGATCGGATTTGATTCTTGTGGGTCCATCATTAACCAACTTTAGATTCGATATATATATATATATTTATTTAAATTAATCCCCTTCAAATCGGCTAATTTCCATTGGCTTACCTAGTAAATATAGGAATTTTTAGTGGTCAGTTACAAGTGAGTTACGACCCAGAGATCTCCTTTCCGACCCTCAGTCTCCTGGGATCACCAACTGATGCCACAACCATGGAGATGGAATGCCATTAAAAGGAGAATGACATAGAAAACATATGAAAAAATAGCAACATTTTTCATTTGTAAATAAAAGCTATGACAATGATATTATAGGACCGGATAACCCCACATGTTAGCAACTTCTTCAGACTTAGAGCACAGAAAGCGAGAAGGGAAGAGGAAGTATGAGAGTGATGGAGGGACGATGGTGGTATGTATGTAGGTAGGTAGGTAGATAGGTAGGTAGGTAGGTATGTATGTATTTAGGTATCTATGTATGTATGTACGTAGGGTAAGTTGTTTGTGAGTAAGTTGCTTCGCTTTCATCGAGTTCCACCAGGCTCTGATGGTTTTTTCCCGACACACTATCAAAACGATGGTGTGCTCACCATACTTCCGCTGACCAAAGTAATGTTCTGCACTCTTTCGAGCGCAGCCGCACATTTTGTGAACTCTTTCTGCATGCCCTGTGGCTGGTAAACATCGCTGGCACATAGTCAAAATCAACTGCTATAATCTTCCGGCGTTAATAGGAGAGGTATGCTGTGGGGTGCACCTTGTCCCATGCCTGCCACGCAAAGGCAGCGGAGCCCGAAACCCGAGTTGACATGTCCACTTCAGAGCTAACATGCCATCACCAATAACATATCATAAATAACCCTTCATCAACTTCTCTAGATTTATTTAGACTGGGCATAGAAAAGGAAGAAGGGAAGAGGAAGTATAAGAGTGATGGAGCGGTGATGGTGGGTGAGTTTGTGTGTGTGTGTGTCAAGCTCTGTACCGAAGAGTTCCTCACTTTTTGCGGCTGGTTTCAACCAACTAGTTTTTTAACTGCTTTCTTCCATAAATTATGGATACCATTGCACCTTAATTCACAGCAGGGGGCACAAGGACCTTTGGTGAGTCTTGTGCCAATGAAGACGCTCACCTTAGGTTGTGAAAACGTACCTGCATGATGCACCTGGATGACATACCCAATATGTTGGGGTCATAGCTGGTGGTCATATTCGTATCTGTTAGTACTTTATGGGATCAGGCTAACCCAAGAACCTGCATGCCGTCATTCAGTCATTTCATGATCACTTTTGATTGAGCCGTATTGGTTTCTCTTTTAAACAACCTGACATTCAAATGTCAACGGATAAGCTTGGCCTCTTTTAACTCGGTATGGCCGAGTGATGCCTTCAATCTACCATGAGGTAATCAGACTTTGCATTCATGAAAAGAGACCGTCTTTCATGACTTCGCAAGTGTGTATTTCGGCCGTGGGATCTGTCAAAGTCCGGTCGTGATCCTGGAATTCCAGGCGTCGTATCTCCCCTGGGAGTGCGAGAATCCACAAGTGAATTAGACTCTTGAATTCAGCCACGGTGGCTCATTGCAATGATTGAACGTGTGTCTCTGACACAAAGCGTGCATTTGAGAGAATAGATCCCGGTATGCTATCCGGCAAAAATAGCTTGAATCCACTGAGTTTGAACTTGAATTTGACTTTTGACAATTTTGGCGACTGATAGTCACCAATAAGATGAATTTTCTGAATTCCACACTTGAAGCCTCAGCATTGAATTCCAAATGGATGAATTGTGTTTGTACACATGAATGCCTTTTGGTGTACAGTTGAGCAAGCAACAATACGTTATCATTTGTTAGTTGTCTAACTGATCAATCCTTGTACAGTTAGCAAGTTGTCATATTAGACAACACATTTTCCATTTTCCTTTCTCTAGATTTCTGAGCCATGTCGACTCCGGTGTATAATGTTTATTTTGTGGCCGGCAACGTGGACCCGACTCCACCTCGGCCACCCAAGGCACCGGCGAAGCCAGCAGTAAGACTGGCATTGACACCACATGCTCCTCCAGCAACTCCGGTAGTAGCCCCAGCCGCAATTCCAGGAACGATCTCCGTACCTCGTCGACCGTCAGCAGTCCAACCTCAGGTGCCGGTTGGAACAGATGATGACAAACAGGAAAGACGCACAACATCAAGTTGCTCCAGATCCAGAACAAGACGTCGTCATCGAGCATCCCATCACCGTCACCATCATCGTGATCACCATTCTCTGAGGTCCACTTCGAGATCTGAAAGAGGTAGGTCAGTTAGAACGGCTCTTTCTTCTTTCTCTCAAGCTCTCCGTCCTCCACCAGGTCAATGGGACATTCATACTGGTCTTTGGGACCCGTATGTTGGAAACATTCCTCCCAGAGCGCATGTTCTTCCTCCCAGAGTTCCTGCTCCTCCTCCCTTGAGACCGTTTTCAGCCTTCCCTCTAGTGGAGGTCGACCCACGTGTACAGCGGACTCACTTTTTCACAGCACTTGGTGTTGTATGGCGCCAAATCAGGGGCGCTGGAATAGGAAGTCAGATTTCTCCAACACTTTCGAACTTGGCCGTGACGCTTATCGAGAGACCGTGGAGCAGTACCTATCAAGAAGTTCTGACTCGACCAAATTTTCATCATCTTGCAATCAGGTACGTCGACAGCCGTTTTGTCATTGTACAGAAGCACCATCTTCAGGCTCCAGTGTTCAAAGTGTTTACAGACTTGGACTTTTATGGTAGTCCAGTCGAACTGGAGCTGGTTGCCGACAATTTTACTTCTCGGCTTTTATGTTGATGTTTCTGAAAGAACAATCATTTCAGCCGGAACCCTCCGATTGCGTTTGAGCGGACTGAAGAGTCGAGCTCATTTAATTCGTGAATATTCATTTCCGTCCTGTCAAGCACAGAGTTCGTTGCACGCACTATCTCGGTTATATGTACAGAAAGGCTTCGCTTTGTCAGATATTCACAGCGCGTTGTGGCCGACAAATACCAGCGGCGATAGGCCTTTGTGTGTAGGGTCAACCCCTGTTTCCAAGGGATTTGCGATTTTTCTGTTTTTCAGTTTTTCAATTTTAAGGCAGGGGGTCGACCCACGTGTACAGCGGACTCACTTTTTCACAGCACTTGGTGTTGTATGGCGCCAAATCAGGGGCGCTGCAATAGGAAGTCAGATTTCTCCGACACTTTCGAACTTGGCCGTGACGCTTATCGAGAGATCGTGGAGCAGTACCTATCAAGAAGTTCTGACTCAACCAAATTTTCATCATCTTGCAATCAGGTACGTCGACAGCCGTTTTGTCATTGTACAGAAGCACCATCTTCAAGCTCCAGTGTTCAAAGTGTTTACAGACTTGGACTTTTATGGTAGTCCAGTCGAAATGGAGCTGGTTGCCGACAATTTTACTTCTCGGCTTTTATGTGGATGTTTCTGAAAGAACAATCATTTCAGCCGGAACCCTCCGATTGCGTTTGAGCGGACTGAAGAGTCGAGCTCATTTAATTCGTAAATATTCATTTCCGTCCTGTCAAGCACAGAGTTCGTTGCACGCACTATCTCGGTTTTCCGACAAATACCAGCGGCGATAGACCTTTGTGGGTAGGGTCAACCCCTGTTTCCAAGGGATTTGCGAATTTTTCTGTTTTTCTGTTTTTCAATTTTTCAGTTTTAAAGCAGGGGGTCGACCCACGTGTACAGCGGACTCACTTTTTCACAGCACTTGGTGTTGTATGGCGCCAAATCAGGGGCGCTGGAATAGGAAGTCAGATTTCTCCAACACTTTCGAACTTGGCCGTGACGCTTATCGAGAGACCGTGGAGCAGTACCTATCAAGAAGTTCTGACTCAACCAAATTTTCATCATCTTGCAATCAGGTACGTCGACAGCTTTATTGTCATTGTACAGAAGCACCATCTTCAGGCTCCAGTGTTCAAAGTGTTTACAGACTTGGACTTTTATGGTAGTCCAGTCGAACTGGAGCTGGTTGCCGACAATTTTACTTCTCGGCTTTTATGTGGATGTTTCTGAAAGAACAATCATTTCAGCCGGAACCCTCCGATTGCGTTTGAGCGGACTGAAGAGTCGAGCTCATTTAATTCGCAAATATTCATTTCCGTCCTGTCAAGCACAGAGTTCGTTGCACGCACTATCTCGGTTTTCCGACAAATACCAGCGGCGATAGACCTTTGTGGGTAGGGTCAACCCCTGTTTCCAAGGGATTTGCGAATTTTTCTGTTTTTCTGTTTTTCAATTTTTCAGTTTTAAAGCAGGGGGTCGACCCACGTGTACAGCGGACTCACTTTTTCACAGCACTTGGTGTTGTATGGCGCCAAATCAGGGGCGCTGCAATAGGAAGTCAGATTTCTCCAACACTTTCGAACTTGGCCGTGACGCTTATCGAGAGACCGTGGAGCAGTACCTATCAAGAAGTTCTGACTCAACCAAATTTTCATCATCTTGCAATCAGGTACGTCGACAGCCGTTTTGTCATTGTACAGAAGCACCATCTTCAGGCTCCAGTGTTCAAAGTGTTTACAGACTTGGACTTTTATGGTAGTCCAGTCGAACTGGAGCTGGTTGCCGACAATTTTACTTCTCGGCTATTATGTTGATGTTTCTGAAAGAACAATCATTTCAGCCGGAACCCTCCGATTGCGTTTGAGCGGACTGAAGAGTCGAGCTCATTTAATTCGTAAATATTCATTTCCGTCCTGTCAAGCACAGAGTTCGTTGCACGCACTATCTCGGTTATATGTACAGAAAGGCTTCGCTTTGTCAGATATTCACAGCGCGTTGTGGCCGACAAATACCAGCGGCGATAGACCTTTGTGGGTAGGGTCAACCCCTGTTTCCAAGGGATTTGCGAATTTTTCTGCTTTTCTGTTTTTCAATTTTTCAGTTTTAAAGCAGGGGGTCGACCCACGTGTACAGCGG